GGAGATAGCTTGGTAGCACTGACTTTAACTCCTGCGCCACCAGGGAGACCCTCTTCGTGTTTTCTCTCTGTCCCCTTCAATGGCATTGAGAAGTAGGTGGACTACTTATTTTAATTCATATAATTGATGAAAAATTGGGGCTCAGAAAAATTAAGAGTCCTCGGAGGGAAAGCTAGGGAGGGGCAGGCAGTGAAGCTTCCTGCTATCAAGGGGCTCTCTCCTGAGTCCTCTCCAAACAGTAACCCAACATGCCATCATGCACTCATGGTCACTGGCATGTCTCTCAAACCCCCGTCCCCAATGGACTGGTAGCCCTGGGAGGACGCAAACTGGGTCTGCACCCACGGCCGGGCACACCATCTAGCACCAGGCGGGCCTGCAGTGTGAAAAGTCTTGGTTCTCGAACGAGAGCTGGAGCCCGCTGGGAAACTGAGGCCTTGGGCCATTGTGCCTGCCCTGGCCAGTGAGCCTGGGGTCCTGGACAGCAACCCAGGCTCCCGCATTCTGAATCCAAAGCTCCACCTTCACTCGCATCCCCGCCCCGCCCTCACCCTGGGCTTCCCCCAGGGGCTCCTCTGGGTCCCAGATCTAGCATAGGGGAGGTGACGCCCCCTGCTGCCTACAGGGCTGACCCAGGTTTGTTACCTCTACGGGACAAACCAGGGTCACACACAACCGCAGCCCAGCCCCATGACTGGGGAAGAGCAGAGCTCAGCTCCCAGAATGAAAGTCATCCGCTCTTCTATTTTCCTCGGAATAAAGGTTTTCCTAAGTCGAGGGGGCTCTCCTTCCCAGAATAAACAGAATAAGGGAGAAGGGGCCTCTTTGGTGGAGCGCTGCTGCCCCCCGGTGGATGGCTGCGGCCATTACCACAGCGCAGGACGTCCAGGCCCGAAGGGTGCTCGCGGGGTCTCTGTTCTGGTTTCAGTTCTGTGGCTCCGTGACTCCTGGTCTCCTGAGTCGTCCCCGGGAAGCCAGGAGATGGTCAGGGCCACCGCCAGCTCTTCCGCCGCAGCCTGGAGTGGGGTTTCTTCCTCTGAGAGACACCCCCACTGTGCGTGGGGAAAGATGTGGCTCCCCATACCTCTCGGGCAGGGTGGACTGGACACGAGGGCAGTTCCTGGGCCGCGATGAGGGTTTCTGTTACCCAAGGGCCTGTCCTGTATTAAGCAAATGTTTAATCAGGTGAGAGCAAGATTTGATTTCTGGGCTTGCTTGGGAGGGGTGGGGGTGGGAGGGAGCAGAGGGGGGCGGGGAGCTTCTCCACAGTGGGGTGTGTGCAACTCCCCACCTGCTGCTGGGCGGGTGTGCAGCCCCTCCCCCCTCGGTCTTCCTGTCGCACCTGCGGTGGGTGGGTGGGTGGCGGTGTAACGGCCCAGCCCGCCTGGCCCTGGCACGTGGCCTGCAGCGATGCTATCTCTAACTCAGTATTTTTAACTCTTCTTTCCAGAGGATGTGGCTTCTGCGGGAAAGCTTCAAAGGGTGTCCTATTTGCCCCTGTCAGCAACCATGATGTCATGGAAATGGGCGGGGAGCCACCGAAGCCCCCCAAACACCTGGAGGGAAGTGGGTTACTTTTTCCACTTCCTGCCCTACTTCTCTGGCTAGTGACTCAATGTCTGATCTGCTTATTTATTTCAAAGTGAAGCTCTCTACATGGGACCATGAGAGGAAACCTGGTGCACTGGTGTGTCTGGCTGAAATAAGGTCTGAAAACAGGTGGCCTTCCCAGAGGCGGGGGCTGGTGGTTCTGCAGCCTCCTCACCAATCAGCGTCCCTTTCACAAAACTCACACGTGGGGTCTCCCCACTTGCACCCATCAGGGCCCCATCACTCAGTGAGAAACTCCTCCTCCCATACATTGCTCCAGAAAGTAGACTGGAGGATGGGGTTTTAAGGAGGGAGATCTGGGGGTGAGGAGGATGGACCCCGTGACCTTGGATGCTGGGCCTCGGGGTGGTCCTGGCCGACCCTTGGCCCCTGTTTGCTTTCCAGAGCAGCAGGCCTCCAGCTTGGGTGGATCAGTGCCTGACTGGGGGTTGCCAGGGCCAAGGGGCCAGGTTTTGCTTTTCCTGATAGTTCTTGACAGGTTACTTTTTTAGCCCTTAGCAGAATTGTGAAACAGTGCCTCACCCGCCTCTTCGGATCCCCATTTTCCTTTCTCTTGGGCTCCCGCTCCCCCTACTTGGCTGCCTCCCCAATGCCTAATGGCACTCATCATTTACTCCTCTCATTCGCTGGTTAAGTGATACTGAGCATCTGTTGTGGGCCAGGCCCTGTCCTGTGTCTGGCTCGTGCGCCCTGATGAACAAGACGCACTTCCTGTTCCCAGGAGTTCCGAGTCCAGGGGACTCTCTTGCCAAGATGTTACCTAGGTGGCCTCTGCAGAGGACTTTGCGTGTGACCTCAGGAGTGCCAGAGTTCCTGAATAGAGCAGGAACTTCCAACTCCAGAGGCTACCTCTGCAGGGATTGCTCTGCTGGTGCTGAAGACCTCTCCCAGGTGTTCCTAAAGCACACCCTGGGTTAGCCTGACCATCTATTGACTGGCCTGTGACTCCTATTGCAATCGAGGGCAGACTCCTGGTGAAGTCAGAGAATCTTCTGGAATCTTCGGCCTGGGATCCTGAGCTCGTGGGGTCCATTCTTCTGTCTCTAGGACTGGCCTAAACTTAGGCTTGTTAGTGCAATAAGGCATCTGGCCAGAGGAATTTGTTGCATAACTGTCCTGGTGACAGGTTTCCTGCTGGGATGGTGACCTTCCTTCCTTGTGGCTGGTTCCTCCTATGGGGATGGGGTTCTTCAGAGCTGCGCCTTTTTCTTGCCTAGATGGCAATGTCTCAAGTTTCCTTTGCTGTCTCCTCCCTTCAGGCTGAGCAATGCCTGTCCAGTCCTGCACTGGGGGCTCTGTGGTGGTGGCCTAGGCAGACCCTTGTAGTGGGTGCAGGTAGCCTTCCACAAGCTGTACCTCCTTATGGGACCATGGTAAGTTCCATGACACATCCCAGTGGGGCCTGGGCCCAGACAGGAGGACAGAGGAGTTGCCAGTGAGAGGAGTCTGCACCACCCTCAGGCACTCCCCCTTCCTGGCCAGCACTCTGACTTGGCCCTCGTGACTTTAGGCTTAATAGCCCCGGACTTGAGGACAGGCTCTTGGCCTGGTCTGAGATGGAGACCTCTCAGGGGCAGGCTGACTCTGCTTTCCAGATGGCTGAGAGCTGCTGGAGCCCTTGTCAGCCTTCTTCTCAGCTTAGTCTGGCTGGAAGGAGGAGGCTTGGGTGGACCCAAGCCATTACTGGAGTCCCCAGGTGACTTCAGGGCTTCAGTGACCAGGGGGCCTGCTAGCTGAGCGCCCTCGCTGATTCGGCCCCATCGGCTCCTTGCTGTCCCCCTCTGGGACTCTTCTGAGGCCTTGCAGGCCTCCCTGTCTGTTCCCTTCACTGCCTTCCAGGGTCTCTGCCCCTGTCCCCTGGCCAGGCCCTCATTCCCATCTGCTTCTGCATCTCTGTTCCAGCTCTTGGGAGAAGAGCTGCCTCCCGCCACCCACACGATCCCGCCTGGATCTTTCGTCTAAGACCAAAATGAATTACCACTTTAGAAAGGAAAAAAGGCAAACTAATTTGCCCTAAGTTTTTAACAGTTGATAAAGGCTTGCTCTACTAACATTCCCAGGGGCATTTTCATTTAATTTGGGGAAGACAATGCTTTAATTAAAAGAAATCCCCAATGTGAAATCTCTGGCATGTGTCAGGCTGATGAGGAGGCAATTTTGAGTTCCTGGAGGTGGCAATCCCACTTTTGGGAAGGTGGTACATCCCCCCCCCGCCGCCCCTTGCCCCCTTATGTGTGAGGATGACCTACTATGACCAGATTTCCTCAGAGACCTTTCCTGTTAGTATCTTTAGAAGGATTTTTGTTTAGGCTGCAGGTGGGAGAAAAAGCGAAGAGCTCTGTGACTGCCCTCGGCAGGGCTGACCAGCACATGGCCGTGCTTCTCCGAGCCACAGGGTCAGAGACCCATGGAGCTAGAGGCAGCCTCTAGTCCTACCTGATATTTATAGGGGTGACCCTGGAGCTCCTGGAGGGCAGGGCCTTTCCTGGGGCACCCCTGCAAGAAGCAGGTCTGAATGGCAGCTGGAAGAATCCCCGTGTCTCTGGCTGGTGTGGTCTGAGACACACAGGTGAACCATGGAGGCATTTGGGGAGAGGACTTGGCCCATCCCTGGATTGGTAGAAGCCCTGCTTTGGTCTCGAGTCATTGTTAGGTCAAGTGGTCTCTGGGGTTGAGCATCCATGACCCTAGGAAAGGTGCTTGGGCAGCAGAAGGTTCAGGAGAAACCCAGGAGCCCCAGCAAATCATACCCCGTCCTCTGGGTAATACCTGAGGCAGCCACCTTCCTTGGCTGTGTCCCTGGGTCTGAGGGGAGAGAGTTCATCTCCCCCTTTCTCACCCTTACATCCAAGGTGGTGGGAGTATAAAATCTGGCTAAGGTCACAATTCCCAACTGTCTGCCCCCACTCCTGGATGGGCACCCCAAGTGGCTGGGCATTGGATTGGGACCTAGAGAGCTGATTTGGGTGGTCTCATACGTGAACTTGTGCGACAATGCAGTTTTAACAGGAGTCTGAAAGGAAGTGTTGCTGGAGGGCAGGAGACTGTGGGTGGCACTTGGGGGACACTTCCTGTGTGGTCCTTGTCTGCCAAGTCTCAGCGATAGGCCATGACCACCCGTGTGCATGGACCTCCTGCTTTGGGTGGCCCAGGGGTGTGGTGTGCAAACAGAAGAGCCGGCCTGAGCTTTTAAGTGGGTTTTCCTGGCCCCCAGCTCAAATGGAATTTTAAAGAGTTGACTTAAGCTGCTGTGGGTTAGGTTCCCTGAGCGGCATCGTGGACGACTGTCTTGGTTTCTTTCTGCCCGGCTAGGGACCAACAGCAAGCAGAAAATGACCCCAACCGAACCCAGGCAAACAGAAGCACAGTCTCAGTTCTGCCAAATTCCTTTTAATGAAGTGGTGGGCAGCGGGATATACAGCGTGGCTCAGATACACAGAGAAGCAGGCCTGGATAATGAGATCATGTCCCCGGCATCTTGCGGAGAAGGATGATATGTATTTCTTATGAACACTATTTAAAAATATAAACTGTGTGTAACATTCTGCAGGAGCTGGAGCCTGAGGACCCACTGGGGGGCTGTCACCCCCGGGGGTCCCAGAGGAGTTCTCTGGGGGGGGGAGTTTAGGGAGGTTCTCCCCAGCCAGGAGAGGCAGCCGCCGCCCCTGCCTTTGCAGGGAATGTCGGGCAGTGAGAAGCAGCAATGAGGGAAGTCGGGATGGCAGCAGAGCTGGGCAGCAACTTGGCATCTTGATCACAAATACCCTGCAGGCTCCAATTGGAGATGATGCCAGTGGGCCAGAGGGGCGTAGGGAGTCTTCTCCTCTGGGGGCTGTTAGAGCGCACCTCTGCTTGAGGACTGAGTAGAGGCGTGTGGGACGAGGGGCCAGGAGCACGGGGCTCTCAGTCTTGGCGACCTGGGAGAAGGAAAAGGAGAAGTCAGACCAGATCCTGGGGAGACCCTGGACAGTCAGGGACGTGATGGGGTTGCCTGCATCTGCAGAGTAGTCTGGATGGTGGTGGAATGGGGTGCACATGTGCACAGTAGGCGGGGGGTGCTGGGGTGAGGGTATGGAGGTGGGGCCGGGAATTGGCTAGAGCCCCAAGAGTGTACTGCTCCCCACATGCGGAAGGAGCGGGGCTTCAGGTTTTGCAGTGAAGCGGGTGCAGCTGCAGGTATGCATGTGAATGGACCCCCATCCTGGGTTTCTCTTATTCCCGTGCTCCTGAGCTGGGGTGGGCTTCATGTTATTTGGTGCCTTCATTTATTCCAAAACGAGGATACTTTATACTTCCATGTGAGTTGTGGCACAACTGGGTGACTGAAAGTTCCAGGCCACTGTCAGTAACAAGAGGGACTCTAATGGGAAAATATGGAGGAGTTTGGCAGCCTGGATTTGGGACCTAAGAGCGAGACCCTGGGGGAGATGGGCCTTCAGATCTTGGGGCCCCAGCCCAAAACCCTCGCCTTACCCCCCCACAGCCGAGCAAGCCGCTCACCTCAGCTGGACCACAGCCTCAGAGTCATGAGCAGGTTGAACCCAGTCACCTTCAGGAAGAAGACCCGGAACACGATCACTAACACGTTCTGGGTGTTTAGGTACATATCTGCAAAACAAGGGACCACAGCGGTTACAGCTTGCACGCCTGCAGTCTGCACAGCCCCTAGGACACACCTAGTGCTTTCCCCAAAGCAGGGCTCTTTAGCTCCTCACCTGCCTTTCCCTCTGAGCTTCTGTGCACTTTCCCTCATGACATATTTGTCCATCCCTCAGGCTAATAGTATTTCATTTTAAAAGGGACATATTATGGGCCCTCCCTGGTGGCGCAGCTTGTTAAAGCACAGCACTGAGAAGCTAAAGCCACTTCCGCAGTTCGATCCCCGCCTGCCCCGGAGGTGACCACATGGTGTGGCAGACCTCTCCTGACCCACCCACTGCTCCCCTCAGCAGTGTACTTCATTGATCTGCCTGTTCTGCTCCCTACTCTGTCTCTGGTGGATCCTCTCACCCTCCACATCTCTGGCCTATACCCCAGCTCTGTATGAATAAATAAAATTTTTTTTAAAAGGGACATATCAACTACACTTAGTCCTTATTTTAGTTCTAAGCCCCTAGGGGGATGGAGAGGGTATGTGCTCAGAACTTATCACACGTCTTTGTGTCTGGGCCCCTTCACAAGAATCCAGTGGAAGAACCACAAGAAGGATGATTCAATAAAAATGACTCAAATGGAGATGAATATGGACCCAAGAGAGGTGGTGGGGTGTGTGTTGGTGGGGGGCCCTTGAGAGACAGAATCACTGCTTACAGAAAAGCAGATTCTGCTGCTTTTCTAGAAAGAAAACAAAACTCCCTGGTTATTGAGTGGACAGGGGTATCTTCAGGGTGACCTGGGTAGTTTAGGGCCATGGATAAGCCAGTCAAAGTCTCACGACAGGCCGCCCAGAAATGTCTTAGCCTTTCCTGACGGTGAGGCCTGGGAGTGAGTCATTGGTGTAAAACTAGAGATTCATCTCCAGAATGAAAGTACGCACATTCAGTTTCCTCAGAACGGAAAAAGAAAGTCAGACATTGAGAGGACTTTGGGGATTCAAGAATGATGATAGGGACCTCTGAGCAGGGCTTGCACTGCTGTTTCTGTGGCTCATAACTTCGTTCCTAGCTCCACAGATCCCTTCCCACCTCCCCTCTCAGTCAGGGTTACTGTGGGTCTGTCCCCTCCTCACCCCTGTCTGAAGCCAGACGGACCCCTCTCTTACCTGTTTCAAAGCCTTGCTCTATTAATGTGGCATTACAGGAAATTCCTGAAAGGAGAAACAGAGACATTTCTTAGACCCAGGGTGTGCTGACTCTGGGCTCCAGGCTGGCTAGGAATTGGGTGTGAGAGCTACAGCCTATACTCAGGCTGCATGTCCACAGCAAGCGCTTCTTTGTGGAGAGAACTGGAGGGCACTCGCTGCAGGTGGGCGACTGTGGGGAAAGCCACTGGCCCGACTGAACCCACACACAGGCTTGCAGCCACCACTTCGTCCCCATGACAAACACGGGCTGTGAGGCATTCAGCACCCAGGGCACAAAGCCAGAAGGATCCGTCAGACACAGACACTACCCCTGGGTAGGTTCCCACCGGGGTTCTATCGGGACAGTGAGGCATGCATGTTTGCGGGATGCTTTCATGGGTCCACAGAAATGTGGGGATCCCTGCACCCCACATTGTTCCTGTTTTCTCCATCCCAGTAAGTGGTGCTATCATTGACTCAGCTGCTCAGGCATCAAATGCTGATGCCTTCCTTGAGTCCTTTATTTCCTTCTTGTCCCTGCCTGGTTCTACCCCCAATGCTGTGGCCACTCAGCTCCTCTGCTGCCACCCGGCCAGGCAGCCCACCCTCACCTCCCTGCGGGTGGTCTCCCTCTGGGTGCCACTCTTGGCTTCTCCAATCCATTCTCCACTCCGCAGCCAGAGCACTCTTTTAAAAAAGCAGATTAGATATCGTGCCTCTGCTTAGAACCCCTCGGTGGCTTCTCACTGTGCATAGGAGAGTGTCTGTCCTTTGCTGACAGAAGAAGCCCCAGGATCTGGCCTTCACCCACCCCACTTTTATCTCAGGGGTCTGGGCCACTTTCCAACTGTGCTCCTGTCTCAGCCCTCTGGCTCCTCACTTTCCCTGGCGTGTGGCTGGCAACTTCTTGTTCTTGGAGTCTCCACAGCCTTTCCCTAAAGAGTTTGTCCCTGACTTCTATCCCTAAAATGGCTACTTCTTTAACTCCAAGTGACATATTACAAGATGCATCTTGAGTTCCCTTGGCTTGTGGGTGGTCTCCGGACTAGACTGGAGCTTCCTCAGGGCAGACCCCTCATCTGACGAGGTTGCTCCTGAGGTCCAGTGACCGGCATGCTGTACATGCACAATCAACGTTTGTTGAATGAATGAGTGATTGACTGAGTGAGGTTGAGAAAAAGGCCTTTTGTGTAGGAATAGGAGGGAAGGATAATGGAGAAGGTTTTAGAACAGGGCCTGGAAGGGGCACACAGCCCGAGCAGAGACAGGGAAGCGGGAACTTAGAATGGACGAAGCTGAGGCCAGGCCAGTGTCCCCTCCTGCCTCTTTCTCCCACTGCTTTTTTGTCCAGGACAGGACAAACACACAAAGCAGAGCAGGATATCCTGGCCTGCCGGGATGCGGCTCACTGGGGCTCAGCAAAAAGAAGGTGGAGAACTCTGCTGGCAATTGAGAGGCTGAGAGCACCAATATGACTGGCTCTTTGATACCACTCACTTGAGCCTGGCAGAGCAGAGCCCTGAGCCAGGACACTGAGCTCACGGGGACATGAGGCCGCACTCACCTTCGCTGGAGCGGAACTGGTAGTTCTCGAAGACAGCGGAACAATTCGGACTACTTTCATTCTTCCAGGCCAGGACCCCGTTGCTCTTGGAAGCTGTACTCTCCATGTCCAGTGCTGTTGTGTTTGTGATGGAGTAGTCATTGGAGGATGCCGACACATTTTGGTCAGACTGAAAGTCGGTGGCTAGGCAGAGGGTGTTGTTGGAGTTGCCTTTCAGCTCGTACACAGCGGGGTCAGGGTTCTTTATATCTGTGGGTCAAGAGGACAAGGGTTAGGAGGTGCTCTTGTTTTTGGCTTTGTCCCAACCCGAGCCTGAGTCCAGATGCCAGCGACGAGCCAGAGCAGGCCTGTGGGGCTGACACAGGAAAGTGTGTTTTAGAAACCAGCTGCTCACAGTGGGCCAGGGCTCGGGCAGAGGCCGCGGGTGCTGGCCAAGAGCTCAGCTCTCGGTGAATGCTCTCTGCAGGGCCCCATCCTTCATTTGAGGAAACCAGACATGCAGGGTTCCTTACGGATATTGCTCATTCTTCTACCTAATAGGAATTCTCCAAGACCTCAGCAGGCCAGGCAAACAGCAACATAACTCTGGCAGGACAAAGCAAGCGTAGAGCAAAAAACTCAGCCGAGCAAACCATCTATCTTGGAACCTGGGGGTGGCCTCCCCCACTCAGGCTGGGCTTTGACAAGGATGAGGAAGTTATGATAGGCTGCCATTAAGTCAGAAGATTGGTGTGTGCGCCTGTCTCAATTCTTTTGTTGATAAAGTCCCAGACTATTGATCAGAACACCTGTGACAGAGTCCAGGGCCACCATTTACCAGATGTGAAGGATTGAACAAGTTACACCAGCTCCTTAAGCCTCTGGAATGTCATCTGTAAAATGGAGATATTGCCTACTTCACCTTCCTAACCAGGCTATTCTGAGAAATAAATGAGAGTTTTTCCATATAAAATTACATTTAATAAACCGTAAACTGCCAAACAAATGAGAGGAATTGCTGCAGCAGATTCTACCAGGAAATTGCCATGAGAATGTGCTACTGAGTACTATTCAGCTTCCACTCCTCACCCCCAGGAAGCAGGGGGTGCTGGAGGCTTTTCCTTAGTGCTGGGAATCATTCTTCAGTATTTCCGTGGGATTTTGTGTTTTTAATGCTCTCTCATTGTTTATTCTTTCAGACCTCCTGCTTTTAGGGGAGGAAGCAGAGGTTTGCCAGGAGGATTAACATGTTGGGGCCACCCAGAGAGTTTACAGCAGGGTTGGGACTAGAACTTCCTGCCCTTATGGTTCTCTGCCCTCACAGCTCCTCACCATGCACACAAGGCTTCTCAGACCAGCAAAGCACCCCACTTGCTGAGTCAGCCGCCTGGCCTGGACCGAAACCAGGACAGTCAGCCCCTGGCATGGCCCTGAATGCCGAGGGAGGGCAGTGCCCCTGGATAAGCAGCGCCGGAGGGGTCAGGGTACACGGCCACCCACACCCCGCCAGGGACTGGCTAGTCATATGTGAGAGTCATGGTGGGCTTGGGGAGGCGGGCATGGAGGGAGTGAAGGCCCTGAGTGTGGCCTCAAGGAGCGGGCAGAGGATCAGATACCACCAGGGGCAGCTGGCCTTAGAGTGGAAGGGGGGGCTGCTGAGGGGCCGAGACACCCAACTTTGAGTCCAGGGGAAACAGGCAAGCCCCATAGCCCACGATGTCAGACGAGAGGAGGTATAGACCATGCTGTCCAATCTGATAGTTTAGCCACACGTGGCTATTAGAACTAACCCGAAGTGAAATAAAATTAGAAATGCAATTAAAGATTAAAATTTCGTTTCACGAACACAATAGCCACAGGCATCTGGTGGCTACTGTGTAGGTCAGTGAAAATGACACATTTCCATCGTCACAGAAAGTTCTGTTGGGCAGCAGCGGCTGGAGAGAGCAAGGCCACGGGACGTGAGACTGTGACGAGGGCAACAGGGCTGAGGATGAGTCTTAAAAACCATCTCTGAGGGCCCTCCCTGGTGGCGCAGTGGGTTAAAGCACTGAACTAAGAAGCTTGAGCCACTTCCGCATGAGTTCGATCCCCGCCTGCCCCGGAGGTGATCCACATGGCGCGGCAGACCTCTCCTGACCCACCCACTGCTCCCCTCAGCAGTGTACTTCGTCGATCTGCCTGCTCTGCTCCCCACTCTCTCCCTGGTGAATCCTCTCACTCTCCGCATCTCTGGCCTGTACCCCAGTTCTGTATGAACAAATAAGTCTTTAAAAAAAAACCATCTTTGAGTCTGTGAACGGGATCACCAGGGCCAGGTCACTTACTAAACACGGCGATAGCAGAACTGAAACAGCAGTGGATGAAGTCAAAAGAGCAGAGGTGGTTTTCAGCCAGCCTCCTTCAAGTCTTGTTTCCCCAATGGACACGCTTTGGAGGCCCTTACCTGCACTCCTGTCTACTTTTCCCCACCTCCATTTCCAACTTTGTTCTACCGTCTGCCCCCACCGAATCTCTTCTTGAGCCCCTCCAATGTACTGGCTTATAACACACAGCTGATGGGTCACTTGTTCAAAATAACCTGGCGCTCTCAGGCGCCTGTAGCTCAATGCCCAAATTTCCTGGCCAGACGTTGCAGGGGCAGTGACGGACTGGATGGCTGGCTGCCTCTCTCCAGTCTCTCGCATGTCCTTTGTGTTGGCTTTCTGCAGTGTGAGCTCTGAGACAGCAAAGGCCAGTCTCTGGTATACTGCTCTACCCCTAACACCACATAGTAGGCCCTCAGCAAACAATTGTTGAAGAAAAAAATGGGTTTGTGCCACCAGATTTGTATGATTTCTGCCTCCAAACCTGGATACTGATCCCTACCTTGACTTTTTTTAAAGCTTCTCTTTCACTTTTACCTCCACTCTACCTTTAGTACAGCCATATCTTTTTGTCTGAAACAAGAAATGAGTCACTTTTAATTTGGAGTTTTTAAGGGTACAGCTGCCAGAGCCCTGGGGGGAAATATCCCGTTCCATCCTGGCAAGATAAACGCATCTTTCCAGAGACAGTAGACTTAGTAAGGCAGGATCAATTTTTCAGTGGAGAAGTTTCGCTATTCTAGATCCTAACCTTTCATTTTAATTCAAAACTAACTGCAGAAGCACATGTCCAAATGCTCTAGTGCTTTCCATCCCCAGCGGCACCGCGGTGATGGAAACCTCCCTTCCCAGGAAATCTGCTTTGTACTCGGCACTAGGAACCTGGGCATGTGAGTTCTCAACACTGCCTCTGGGGCCCACCGAGACGCTGCTTAGTGTCAGGAACAGTCTGGGCCGACTTACCAGGACTGATGGAAAGTCTGGTTCCTTTGCCAAATTGCATCTGGGAGGCAACAGCTTTCTACCACTCCCAATGTCTCCATTACAGAAACCCTTAGGGTTTTCCTCCTCTAAGGGTGGGGTAAACCCTCTTGGAGCACACTGGGGAACAGAGTGGGGGGGCTCCAGGCCGTGAGCCACCCCTGAAGAGAGCTTACCTTCACATCTGGCTTGTATTTCTAAGCTATATTCCCCATTCTCAGTGACTGACTCTGGCCCTAACTGTCTTTTCTTGAGGGCCCTGGGATTCCTTTTCATTCTCACCTAAGAAAATACCTTCTTGCTTTTCTCTCCATCCGACTTTACTATCAGCTGAGTTTGCAGAGGTCAACTGATGTGCATTGTCCAGCCTCATGATTGAGTTTTTCTTGTTCCCAATGCTTGTAGTCCCTTTTCTTTGCTCCTATAATCTTCTTGGTCCTTGAGGCACAACAGATCCTTTCTACTGATTGAACCTTTTCTACCAACGAGGCCAACTCTCCAGTCTCTGAATCTCTATTCCTCGGATGCCCATGGCCATCATGATACTAAAATAGTATTCAGGTTGCCAAATTTACGATAGTTTTGCCCCTTTGGCCGGTTTTTATACTATGTGGGGACAGGTCAGGCATCTATCTATCTTACACTTCTTCCTACCCAATCTAACATTTTATAGAGTGATAGCTACCTAGAAGGCACTTAAAAGCCCCCATTGAATGATTAAAGTCAAATTTTAATGTGTTCGACCTAGAGAAACACAGATTTCCAAGATGGATAGTGACGCTTTTTCTGTTCACAGAGGCCTCTCCAAGACAGAACACCCACAGTCAGCCTGATTAGAGTAATAACTTATAAGCCCAGGGAAAGAATTTGTGACACGGTCCAGGGGTTGCAAATGGTGCCACATGGGAAGACTCACCAGATATTACGGACACTTGGGTTCCTCTCCCAAATGTGAGTCTGCCAGTCATTCCTCCTGTGTTCACACTGCAGGTGACACCATTACAGAAACTCACTGGACCCAGCACCCCCCCCACCCCCCAACAGGACAACACTGTCTGCTACAGGGGACAGGAGACCTACACGCTTCAGGGTCAGACCTCATATCCTCTTGTCTTGAGATCTGGCCCGTGTGCTCGGTCCCCTTCCTCCTGCCCGATCTTGCTGTGGGAGGCTGGGATTCAGTAAATCAAGTATCCGGTAAGCAACCCCCACTCAGGGCAGCATTGGCTGGGATTCTCTTGTGGAAGGTCCAGGACTGCTTGTCACCACCTGCCTCATGACTCTCAAAGTCCCAGCCTGAGCATGTTTCTGGAGCTCTGAAAGCTGGATGGGAGGATTTTTTGGGGTGGCTGGAAAGAGCCATTTGTGATCCGACCGAAGAAAATGCCTAGGCTCAACTCGGCATCTTGGACAAGAAATAATTAGGTGCCAATGTCCACCCTTCCCCTGCTCCACTTACTTGACTGGACATTCAGTCTGGTTCCTGCTCCAAAGATTAACTTATTGGTACCGGTGAATCCCACTGCAGGTGAGGTCTTTGCAAGAACCTTACAGAGCCTAATCTTCTGGACCCCACCCTACCAGGCTCTGAGAGCACCATGATAACATGCTCCCTGGGTCTTCGTTTCTTAGATGGTTTATTTCCCAGGGAACTTGTTCTCCTTTTTCTGTATGATACGGTAAATCTTAGTACAGTAAAGACTTGATAATAATATAAATATTTTAGAAGAGCTACCACTTATTGATTCTATGCTATATGCTGGGTATTGTCTTACATTGTGGTGTGGTTATTATCATTTTGCTGTTGAGCAAGTGGAGACTTTACTCTTCAGTGTAGCTGGTGAAGGCAGCGCCAGAGGCCCCCCTGGATCAGTCAGCCTCTCCCACTGTGCTATTTGCCCTGTACCTTGCTGCCTGCATCAC